AGCTGCACGCACACATACTGCCCAAGACAAGCTCGAAGGAGCCTGTGGAAGTGAAGATGGATTTTATGCTGATTGCTATTCTCTCTGTGGTAAGGACCCAAAATTTCTGTTGAGTCTTTATAACAGAAAGCTGGGCGATTGCTAGATTGGGGTCTGCCAGGCAGAAGGCCACAGGTATGAGAATCAGCTTCTTCCACTTCTTCAGCTTTATCCTATTTTAAAGCATTTTTGGAAGATCTGGAATATTTTCTCCCACCTACTTCCAGGAAAAAGTTCAGAGATAGGTTCAAATAGCCTGCTTTATAGCAGGCTCTAAAAATAAGCCTGCGGAGTGCCTGAACTGAACAATGGATTTGCAGGGCACTGGCATGTAAATGTTAACAATATTTATTTTTTTTTTTTAAAAACCGTTGAACCATATGCTCCCACTCTTCAGCCCTAGGACCAAGATCATTGAGCTCTCCTGCAAGAGCGAGGGAGAGCTTCTGGGCTCTGCATTGGATGTATCTAAGAAAATCAGCTAAACATCTTTCCTTTTGTTTCACCAGGTAGAAAAGCTCCAGACAGTCACTTTTTACTTTGTGCTGAACCTGGTAGGTCCCTTGAGAGCATTTTTCTCCTGTGATGCCCAGCATGAATGGCTGGTGACAAGCCCAGCACTCATTTGTCTCCTGCAATTTCTTTCCTCAGGAGTGGGAAAACACTTTTGTAGGCTGGGACCTGCAGGATTTCTGTAACATTTCCAAAATCATTCTGCCAAAGGATGCATATTGGTCTCCCCCCATCTTCATTTTAGAGCGGTAGGTTCCCCTTTCATTTTTATTCATTGGATTAAGAGAAATACAATGGATGCAAACTGCTGGTATTATTGTGGGAAATGGGATAAACTCATACGGTTAAAAGTTGTTCCCAAGAGCTCTCTGTAACTAAAAACCCTGTAATTTAGATTAATGGTGAGCACAGTTTATACAAAGCACTTTGTGGCTCTGTAACATCTCCAGAAATGTCCCACCTGGGCTCTAGTTAAAGCTGCGGAAGCAGCAGAGACCAGCAACATCGTGGAACGAAGTGACCCTTAGTGCTTTGCTTTAAGAGACAGGACAGGGGACTGTGGGTCTGCCGGAGGGAAGGGCACGGCCGCTCCTCGGCTGGGGGGGAGGAGGGGGAGGCAGCTCTGCAGCACAGCAGAGCCAGCAACAAGCCCTTGCCCTGGCTGAGAGCGTGAAGCAGAGAGGAGCGAGTGAGGAGTTTCCTTAGGAGACGCAGAGCTACTACGAACCTCAGTCCAGAGGCACTCACCAGTCCTTCTTCAAGCCCCAGATTTTCTCTCCTCACTGCTACAGCCTGTGGCTGGGTGACAATGCAGAGCCCTCCTGAAGGGATGCTTATCGCCCAGGCTTTTGTGGGACTGAGGAGCATTGCAGCCTCTTGGAGCTTAACCACTCTCATCTTTTGTTTCTTCCAGAGTGGATGGACAAAACTCGAACTTGGATTATATGGCTGTCATGCACAACGGCAGCTTCAACTTCACCCAGCCCTTCCAGGTTACCTTAACATGCAGCTTGAAGATCTTCAGGTTTCCCTTTGACACCCAGACATGCAACCTGAGCATAGCTTCATTTCTCTACCCAGGTACAGCAGCAAGCTGGGTTTTACCACAGCTGGGCTAAATCTGCAGAAGGAGGAATAGATGACATAGACCCTGGCGAACTCCTGGGTTCCCTTGGCAGCAGCACACTCTCACGCTGGGTTAGCGGGGTTGAGGTGATGTAACACCAGGGGAAATGAGATAAAACACTGTCATTCTGTTTTGGCATGTTTCCCAGCAACATCTCTGGAAACACCTGGATGTTCTGTGGCAAGTCCCTCCCAGGGTTGGTCTCTACAGACCAAGAGACTAGGAGGCTTCCTGCAACAAGGATATTTGCTCACACACAATTTTGCAGGACTGATCTTTAAACATACCTGAAACATATGGAAACAAAAGGAAATTAAGGACAGTTTCAGGGATCCAAACTGCAGAGTCCATCCCAATGGGAAGGGTTGAAAAAAAAGCAGAGGTGACACAAAACCCTCCAGCTCCTATCTGCAGAGGACAACTGTCCTAATTCACCAGATTTCCCCTCTGATCCACATGCCCAGAAGTCCAGCCAAGTCTCTTTATCCGAGTGCTTTTTAATTTCTCTCTGATGGGCTAAGAAACCCCAGCAGTGCAAGAAACATTGCCGTTCCTCATTTACATGCACCCTTGGTCGGGAGGAAAAGGGAAAGGAAATAACTGACCTCTAATAAATACCTAAATTCTGCAACTTCTCTCTGCCTCCTGCCCAAGCAGTAACAGACCTTGTCATGAAGACGAGACAGACACCAGACGAGATCATAAGACAGAGCCAGAGTTACTTCTTAACTGATGGAGAATGGAAGTTCACCAACCTGAGCATCATTGAACATGTAGAAGAACAGGGTGATGAACACTTTCCTGTGGTCACCTATGTGGTACAGCAGTATTTTCATATTATATTGCACTAATTTGCCACCAAAAAAAAAAAAAGTATGAAACAAGATAATTTTCTACATTAGGGAACAAGCATTTGCCCAACACAGTAAGTTATCTCCTGCTCACCTAAATTTTGTCCACCTTCTTCAACAGATTTCCATGAAGAGACGACCCACTCTGTACGTTTTGAACCTGATCCTCCCAACATGCGCCCTGTATCTGCTGGATATGGCTGTGCTGTTTGGACCCAGCTCTCTCGAGGAGAAAATCAGCTTCCAGATTGCCATCATCCTTGGCAGCTCCATGTTAGCTGTGATTCTCAACAACATCCTCCCAACTTCCTCCAACAAACCACCCGTAATAGGTACCCATATTTATTGAATAAAAAATTATTTTTACACAGGTACTGACGCTAGGGAAGGTCTTTGGGAGTTTATGGACATGTTCATGAACAGTGAAGTCATGAAGAGCCAAGCTTTATTAGCTGGCTGGAGTTAGTGATTTCCTCCCTTCCCCAGCAGGCAACTGAATGCAGACAGGATTACATTTGAGAGACTTACGCCAATTATCACAGGCTCTCTTTGTTTTCATATTGTTCTGCAGTGGTATTCTTCTTAGGCACCTTCCTGCTCATGATCATGGCTGTGTTGGACACCTTCTTCCTGTTGCACCAGCAGCACAAATCCCTGCACTTAGACAAGATTCTCAGAAGCTTCCAGCAAGGTAAAACCACCCATAACCTCTTACATAAGTAGGTTTGGTGCATTTTGCCACAGATTCGTCTGAGCAAGGGTGGGTATCCTCAGGGCAACCACTGCCCCGGGCAGTTACTGGTTGTGGGAGCCACCCACCAAGCCCCTATTTGCTCTTCACAGATGGGCACGCCGAGCTGCCACTGAGAGCCACGAACCACCAGACCACGAAACACCTCGCCAAGGAAGGCGCCCAACTGCTGAACCTTCCCAAGAAGGCCCAGGCAAAAGGGCACATGGCCAAGCCCCACTCGCAAGCGCAGAAGCGGGACCTATTCCTGCTACTTCTGGAGAAGGTGCTTCTCTACAGTCACTTCTTTCTATCCCTGTTTTTTTTTGCTATTATTTTTATAAAATGGAGCAGCTAGAGACCAGCTCTGCACAGTGCTAGTTCCATTGATCTCCACTGTCTTGCATCTAACCCCTCCACTGTGATTTTTTTTCCTGCTTGATTCATAGAGCTGCAGCTGTTTCAGTTGCCTAAACAAAATTAAAACCCCAAACCTCCAGGGCATGAGATCTGCATGCTTAGTGCTTTGTACTCTAGTCCAGTAGAACTATGTATATTCCTAAAATTCTAATGTGAGCTAGCAAGGCATATGAATAAATCATGAAAACTGGGGATAATACCTTCATTCCATCCATCTATAATTCTTACCACAAACATGATCAACAGGAAAGGGAATTAATGCCCTTCTCTTATGGAGATGTTTCCATTTTGGGGAAAGGTGTTTAAGAGGTCCACCTCAGATAATTAAATAAAACAGTGCAAGTCTGGAGCATGAGCATTTGTACCACTGTTTCTGTGAGTTTCAGCGAGATCCTCATCATTCAGAAACCCAGGACAGAGAGAATAACAGGATTACCAGGATTAAAGGGGTGATACTTGGAATGTTCTAAGAGAATTTTTAAAATCTTTTCTAAAAAGGTATCGACATAACTACACTCCTCTAATTCCTTTTGCAATTGGCTGCACCTAAACCATCACAATCTGCCTAGAAAACAGCCCCAGACCTCTGCCTGTAGAATGCATCTCCCACTGCACCACAGATCACTACTAAATAGACTCCAGCACCATAAAATGTTCCACTTTTGCCTGCATTGCCGGAAGAGCTACATTCCCTGCACCATGCAGCTACAAGGCCAACAGACAGTTTATCTGCATTACGGAAGATGCAGTGAGATTCGGTTTGATCAACAGGTCTAGCTGGGATCTTTGCTACAAAAAGCAGCTTACAGGTAGAAAAGACAAAATCCAGGAAAAGCAGGCTGTTTGCACATTAATGTATTGTTCCACATCTCTCAAAACCTTGCAACCTCATGTCTGAGATCTAAGCCACAGGCAGCAGGGAAAGTTCTTTATTTAAAAGATCAGAGTCTGACAGTCGTTAGACAAACTGCTTCCAGACAAGTTTACAGATCAGCAATGGGTCTGTGGGGCCAGTACGGGTATTTCTCCTTGTCCGGCTTGGTTTCAGGGAAGGCTTCATACAAGTCTTCCAATGTCATCTGTTCAAAGGGAATCATGTTTCTCAGCTTCTGGAGCTTGAAGTGGAAGCAGAGACAAACATGTTACAAGTCACTCATCAGCAAGAAAGAGCAAAGCACACACAAGTAAGAACGAGGTGTGTGCCAGGCTGGGTTAAAGAGAACGTTCACCAAGCAAAGTTCAGACTTACTTGTTGCTCATACTGGGCAATACGAGCTTTGGAAGCCTGCACGTATTCAGCAGTGCTCTTCGCCTGCAGGAAAGCAGAGGACGTGGTGAATATGGTTATGATAAAGGTAGGGACCTAGAGTGAACCTGCAACCCCATGCTTTAAGTTGGCATTCAATTTTATCATCATTACACCAGGTAAGTGGACTGAATCTTAATCAAACCCCAAACAGCCACACCCAGTCTCTTGCTCAGCCAAAAGCCAGAGACACGTATGAAGACCAGAGCCATGCTCTAGCTCGGGCTGCCCTGCCTGTGCAGATGCACGTACGGAACATCCCTTCCCTCTCACAGAAGTCAGAGGCAACCCCAGCATTAGGGAACAGTTTAAACACTTACAGCTTCCTTCTCTTGGGCATCAATTTTGGCAGTTTGTGTATCCACTGGCTCAGGAACCTTTAGTGCACTGAACTGCAAATTGAAAGAGAAAATTTTTATATGGTTTGATTGAAACAGTCCTTCACACCAAGGTTATTTTCCCTGACAGTATTCCCTCCTTTCCTCCTAGCATATGCTCACAACCATGTCAGTTAATGGGCTCTCTAAAACCAGTCACTGCAGCTTGACTGTGTCCTTCAGAAGTAGCACTGCTCACCTGTGAGCTTAAAGCAATCTATCCTGTACTGCATGTCACCACCAGGACACGTAATAATACACACATTCATCACAGCACTGTAAAGAGCAAAGCACAGCATTGTAAGGAAGCAAGAAAGTCTAATACCAAAGACTTATCATATCAAAAATTTATTTCCCCCAAGACAGAGTTCCCAGATCTATCTGAGGTTGGGTGAGTTCTCCCAGTCTTGGGAGGCCAATTTTCATAGTGCCAGGGACACGTATCCTTCAGCAAAAGCCTTGCTCATGCTTTTCAATTCCTGCTTATAAAGAGGATGGCAACCCCTGCAGGCATCCACAAGCTTCACACATTTCACAGTGCAGAGCCACACTCGCCAGCTTCTCCCATTCTGTGAGTTAGACAAATATTTCAAACGGTTGCTTCAGGAGAGGCACTACCTGAATGCACTTCTGGAGCCAAAATAATTTATTTTCTTTCACTAACTTTCTCACTGTAAGTGCCACAGGTTTCCTCCTGAAAGACAGCACTGAAGTGACCTCCTCCAGGTTAGTGACACTGATCTGCAGGATGCAAAGCTGGGGTACCTGCTAGCTAAAAATCAACCTCCGCTGCCAATTTCGGTTTTTTCCTCTCAACACCAAAGACGTTCCCCATTTAAACCTCCAAAGAGCAATATCCAGCTGACAGAGAGACTGACCTTCTTCTGAAATTCATCCACCATGCCAGCTTTAGCAACAGCAGCCTTGTAGTGAGCCCAGTCAATGGCCGGGGGCTTCTCTGGCAGGGCAGCCAACCTAAAGAGATGGAAGAGATCAGTCACAGCCAGGACCAGAAGTAACCTTGCACTATCATCTACTCTGTACCACAGTTACTTTCCAGACCATCAACAGAGCCTGCTTAGTTTATTTTAAATATTCTCAGGTCTGTCACTAACAAGCAGTGATGAACCACTTCTGCAAATGCCTCTGCCCTTGGAACAAACTTCTCTATACAGACAAGAGTTCAGCCTGCAGCCCTGCCCCACTTCAAACTATTACATCGCACCTCCAGGTGCAGCCCTGTTAGAAAGGATTGGGCGGTTTTCACAATACTAAGCTAGAGGCAATCAGCAATACTAACTGTAATAGCCCACAACATTTATATCAAGCAGGAGACACTGAATTTGATAAGACTCATGAATTTGTACAGCATTTAACTGACTAACAAATCCTGCAAAGTGCTTTGAATGTGCCAAAGCAAACTGCTTTCACAGAACTGTTTTTTTATGTTGCAGCTATTGTTTTACTCTGGGGAGGATTAAGTAAAGATGATTTGCCAGTAAAAGCCATCAGCTGTCTTGAAGGTGACCTGTTTTAATACCTATCAGGACACTCTGCAAGACCAGTTACCGACCCAGCTCAACCCTGTACCACAACAGGTTCAGCTGAGGGGCTGAACTGCCCCACACGCAGGAGCTGACACTCACCGAGCTGACAGCGCATCGCTGCGGGTTTTCAGGGCGTTGAACATGGCTCTCTGGTTGGCGGGCACCCTCTCGGCAAAGGCCGCCCAGTCAATGGCCTTGAGGGCAGCTCTGCGGCCCGCCATGCTTCCAGGCTGCGCCCAGGAGAGACGACAACGGACAGGTTATGCTAGAGGGAGCAGGCGAGGCCCAGCAACCGCGGGGAGATGGAGGACGGCTCCTGCCCGGGAGCGCCGGCACCGAGGGGTGAGGGCTGGGGCGGGAGAAGGGACCGGGACGGGGGTTGGGGGGGACGAACGGATGGACACCGGGACAGGGCGGGGACCCGCTCCTCAGCCCGGCCCCGCCGCGGCCTCACACCCCCGCTACTCCCCACAACACCCAGGCCCGCCCCGGCCTTC